CCATCACACCCACAGTGGTTTAGTGTACATCATGTCTAATACACAATTACATGGTATTTGTGATATTTTTATGCTTATTTTCCTTTTTACCACCTCCATTACACTTCCCACTTTAAAAGAAAGTTGTGTAACGGTGGCTAAGACACTTTTTGGTCTCTAATGGTGTCATGGGGAATTCATTTAAACTGTGACTTTATTTTATTTTGAAGCACTAAAAACACCAGAGATGGCCTTTGCTTCTTTGCTTGTTAGAAAGTTGGTTTCTCAGTTTTCTTCCAACAAAGAAAGCTGCAAAAAGAGACCTTTAGAAATTCTAAGATTTTGTATTACTGGCTGCAGTAATTGGGCTGCTTCATCGGTTACAGTTATTTAAGGAAAATGAACAATGTGGAAGGTATAAAGAGATTAGTTCAATGAAATCGAGGGTTTGAATTTTCAAAGAATGTCATGGTGGTCACTTCGAATCATTACTGACAAACATGAAGCGGCTGAATGTGCCGACCAAATGCAATTAGTTACACCAGACACACGCAAACACAAATGACTTTACAAAATTCAATCTGAGTCTGCCTGGCCAAATTCGACGTAATATAAATTTGGAGCAGCTTCCTGGAACTGAAAACAAATCAGAAAACATATACAACTGAAAAAGACTGGTGTTCACGAGTTTTGTAACTGAGGTAGGCTCCTGACATCCACATCTGATTTTAATAGGAGAAGTTTTTTTTCTGTTTGGAAAAAATCGACATACTAATGCTGCTGAACTCCAGGAAAAATGTCTATTTGCTTTCAGTTGTTTAGATTGCAGCAGTGCCGCCGTCTTTCATTTGTTACCTGTTTCCTGAGATATGCACAAATTGAATTATTTCTGAGGTTATTCCCACAACAAAGCGCGGATGAGTCTGCATCTCTCATTTGTCATGTGATGCAATTCGTTGTGGGAAAACATGTATGTTTTATTGCACATGGAAACCGAGGTGTGTCTGCGGAGCAGATTTTCACATGCTGTGTGGTCCTGCCTCAAGAGGTGAGAAGAAGAAGAAGAACCTCACCCTTCGTCAACAGAACTGGAGAGCGTATTCTCTGTAATCTCTATGGAGTGCTGATTTGCTTTTTCCAGAGAATGACTCAACATACGGTGGAAGACGGAGAAAGAAAGAGACCAGAGAAACCTTCTCCACTCTTTCGGACCTGAGGGAGCCAATGGCAAGCCAGCTAATCCCAAGAACAGCAGAGATGAGTCAGCAAATATGAATCAGGTTGTAATCATCCTACTAATAGTCAGATGAGTTAAGAGGGAAAACAGAGAAATGTTCTGATGTCTGAAAAAGATAGAAAAGTGTTGGAAAGGGGAAGCTCCAAGGAGCGGTGGGAACAGTGAGAAGGCGTGGGAATCACAGGGGAAATTCTCTATCATTATTGTACTTAAAACATTTTAAAAAAATAATAAAAATGATTAAATTCAGGCGTGCCTGAAGCCGGAAGATGACTCTGACCGAAGGCTCTCCCTAGCTACAGCCTACAGAAATGATTGAAGCCTTCCTCTCTGACAGGTGCAACGTCATGCTCACATAGTCTGGGTGATGAACTCCTGCTGAGCCAAAACAGAACTTAGTTATAAGTTCACCTCTAAGCAAAGAAAAACCAGGCTATAGACAGTCATACAGACTAGTTTAAACAGAGGCAATCAGTTCAAGTGACAGCCATAGGCAGATGTTAAAGACTAGATTGTTGCTGTCCTTTTCATTCCATATTTTACTTTGGTAAATTAGTATTGATATGAAAGCCCAATACACCTTCTACAAATTGTAGTCTTCGGTTTAACCACAGCCAGTGGCATTTCCCCCAGAGGAATCACACACAGCCAACATAAATTACCAAGTTAAAAATTAAACCATTTAAATGAAACATATATTAGACAGACCGCATAATGTTTCCCGAGTTCTAGGAAAACTAAAGAACTTGCTGCTTCACCCTTTTCTCCAATTTAAATGATCTGCAATTGCTTTCAGTCTCAGCGTTGGTTTTTACAGTTGTAAGCACTTAAGGAAAATTATATTCTTGGCACCTGAATTTCCACAAGGCACGGACAATGCTTCCCAGGTCCGCACCAGCCTGATTGAAAAAACACCAGCAGCTAGCAGCACACTGTGGCACTCTCGGGGTTTGGCAGGCAACACCATGCAGCAAATGCAGAGAAACAGTAAGAATCATTAAAAAGGGGAGGGGAAAAAATCCAGACACGCTGTCTGTCTGCTTTCCAATATGTATTCTCAACATAAAGTACAAGAAGGCAGCAGTAACCCAGAGGTGGGCGTAAAATAGGATGTTTACAGTTTAAAAATGAAAGTGTGGAAAAGAATCAGAATTGCAGCTGAAAGGAAAAACAAGTACTGACAAGCAGACGATGAGCACAAAAGACATTTAAAATAATCCCACTCAGTAACTGCCCACTAAATTTAAACTAATATAGTTCAAATTTATAGTCAACAAGTTGCTCTGCGTGCAGTGATCTTGCTTGTGACGCCTTTAAAGTGATTTTTTCTACAGAGAAAACATTTCTGGGAGCACACTTGGCTTAATGAGAGTACATGCTCCACTTACTCAAGATTGCTCTGAACACTCAGTTAGACATTTATCACCCTAAATACTTAAATACACCATCTTAAATAATGTCTCTGTTTAACATATGAGGCTAGGCAGCTCTGTACTGAAACTGGACAGTGATGCAAATTTTTTTGTTTTGCATCTTATTTTGCATTCAAAACTTTCCAGTTTGCTATGACTGCTGGAGAACGCGGCCCAGAAAAGAGAGCGTGACAGCTTTGAATAAGCAAATAAGTTCAGTTTACCTCTGTGCATTTTCCATATTGCCAAAGCTTTTTTTTTTAATGCAAAGTGGCCCACTTGGAGCGATGCCTATCACTGCCCACATTACTGTGGCTGGTGAAAAATAGGGAAATGAATGGTGCAAATATGACAGTTAGGTAGCACTGGTGTGGATAATTTACTTCCTTCTTCTGCTGGAGTTCAGTTTAGTTGTTTGCATGTTTTTTTCTCATTTCAGACTATGTGTACCAGTTCATAGAAATGTCAAAAAGAACTAGGTAATCATTTCACAGTAAGATTATAACATTACGAACAAGGCTGCGCACTTTCTATTTGTTGTCGCTCTAAAATACACACAGAAAATAAAATTTTCTATTGTTTGTGCTTTGGTCTAAACACAAAATCCTTGCGGGCCCATCCCCCGGTTCCTAACCTAAACTCCCCAGCTGTGTCCCAGGGAGGTGAAACCCAAACCAGAGTGCAGAGAACTCTCTCTACTCCTCAACCTCTCAACACATCCTCAGCACAACCCTTTGAAAATAAACCACACCGGCAAGCCCCCGTCTCAAAACTCTCGCCTCATATGTGAGCACACATGCCCCACACTCCACTGGGAGCTCTTTGGAGACTTCCCCACTGCTATTCCAGGAAGCAGATGTGAGAATGACGGCAATCAGGCCCAGTGCTTCACTAGGAAATGTGTGGACCATTACACTTATAGCAAAGATATGGAAGAGCGATAGGAGCTGGCTCATCCTCTGCTGCTGCCTAGAGTTGGTTAACATTAGACAGCGCTAAGCTAAACGCATCTGATTAGTGCCACATCAACAGCATATGGCTTCATTTTGTCAAACTCCAGAAACGTGGGTTGGACACAGATTGCATGGCTTAAACAAATTTAATATGACAAATGAATTGATGTAAATGAAGGTAAATGACAGCGATGGGAGAGTAATTGGCCACAAGAAAAAAAAAAAAGGAAAACCACTCAAAGAATAACTTCCACACACCCACGACTGAGCACAGAGTTGATGAAATATTTAGTGATTTGATATAAACCAGTGACACACTCTTGCAGCTTCCCACACTCTAAAACATGTGTAGCGATGGAACTCCAGATGGCTGAGAGTCTGCATTTTCAGAGATCCACCTTCTAATGGCGATCACTCTCCCACACAAACTGTTATCTGAGCAAGAAAGAAACCCACAATGACCCAGAATGTGTTGTTTCTTCGATATCACATGAACCGGGATGACATATTAGAAAAAAGAATAACAACCTGAAGCACTGCACGAACAGTGGGACCCGCGTTTTCCACGCTGGCGCAAGAGGCAGCGAGAGGTCTGCGGGGTGCTTGTGACAGAATTGTGATGGATATCATGTCACTGAACTCAAGTGTACCCACAGATAAAGCTACGTGAATTGTGGACGATAACCGACCCGTAAAAAAATGAAGTCATTTAGACATAATAGAGGGAAAGAAATACGGATTATTTTGGTGACATATTGCCAGCTTACGTTTATTTTGTTTTTGTTTTGAGAAGTGGAAGAAGTAGCTGAAGGAAATTTTAAAGTTGCTGGTTTTTACTTAAGCAAAAATGTGGCGAATATGGTGAGGGACAGCAAAGAATACTAAGTGTGTGGGACAGTGGCATCTTTCAGAGTAAAGCCTAGTGTATTAAATGACATTCAAGCATTTTCAGGGAGGGACAGAAGAACTTATTATCAATGTGGCTGAATTATTGCACACATGAAGGGGGGCTGGGCGCTCCAAGGCAATGGGGAGGGAGCCACGTGCGTCAAAACTCTCATTAAGTAAAGACATAAAGCTGAAGAATAGTTCACAAAGCCCACAGCTTTCAGTGCAGCACAACTGCTTTGCATCCTATTAGCATATTTCTTTTATGATTATCAAAAAGCTTGCTTATGGGACATGACAGGAGAGAGGACACATATGCAAAGTTAATACAAAAATGCATCTATAATTTGGTGGGTGTTTCTATAAAGTATAAAGTACAGAATTTGGATCTGGAGCTGATTAAGGCTGTAGAAGGAGATGATAAAGGAAAGTGGAAACATCATCAACATTTGAATTTTTCAAGTTCAGCAGTACAAAAAAGAAGAAGAAGAAGAAGTAAAAACAAAGTAAATTTTGTGCTTTTTATGTCACCTTGGTCCAGCATCGTGTCCCCTGCAGTCAGGTTGGCGGTGAGACATCTGATCCACTTCAACAGGAGCGAGAACGCTTGCCTGCATGACTTCCTCTTCTCTCTTTCATTCCTTTCCTCTCTCCATCTCCTGCCGCCCTTTTTTTGAGCTGCACAAAGCCGGATGAGGGTCATCTTACCAATGTCCCCATTGTGATTCAGAAATCCAACATTTTGGCAGCATCCTGACCTGTTAACATCTTAGCTTCACAAAGCTGACAGGATCTTCCTCTGCCTTCTACAGCACGTGGACTGCCCGTGTCATTGCTGCTGTTAATTAAATCATAAGGTGCGACCTAGAATTAGCATAAGGCCTTAGTACACAGCACTAAGTGTGTGTGCGTGAATAATTTGTGTAGCTTTCAAACTTTCTGCCAAAATTCTCCCACTACATGAATGATTCTTGTTAAACACACTTGTTTGAGTGGGCAGTATTTCCACAGAGGTAGTCCTTTGACATGTGCATATTGCTGTTTTGTGGGTGTTGCTGTGTTTTTATTTTGACATGTTATAATGTTTGTGTGTAATGGGCTGGGATTGGGGTGCTCTGAGGATGTGTGTGCATGTGTTGCTGTGTGTTTGTCTGTGCGAGAGTGCCTGTGTGGGGGAGGGAGGCACAGCTCTGCAGCCTGATATTCTGGGAACAGCAGGGTGGCGTTGTTGACCCACCTGCTCCCTTCTCTCTTCAGCTGGATCTAGTCGGATTTCAGCAGCTGCATCCCCTCACAAAGCACCTCTTTGTAATCTTCCCAAGGCGCACAAATACAACTGCAACCAGGAGAGGCGAGAGGAAGGAGGAGGGAAGATGGACAGTGGAGACAGAAAGAGGGAAGAGGCAGTAACTGCTGTGCTCAGTGTGTACCAGTGTCACCGGGGCATCATCCTATATCTATAAGTGAAGGGTCAGGTACTAAAAAAACAACAACCTCATATCCACATAAATGATATGACTGTACACTCTCACCTGTGCACAAGCACGTATGCAAAAGCAGACTACACGATGGTTTGGTGAATATTATTATAAGGTGTATGCAAAGCATCTTTGCAAATGAATGTCTATATAAAAAGGAAAAGAAAAAAAAAGATGGCAACAAACTGCCTGCAAAATTGACACGAGCTCAGAAGTGTGGCCCATTTGTTTCCCATTAGCAAAATTTCTTCCTGGCACTCTCACTTGTAATAGATCTCATGCGTCTGAAATATGCCATGTCACATGCATGTCATCAAAAAGAAAAGAAAAGAAAGAAAGAAAGAAAGAAAGAGAAGAAACCCGGTCTCTTTCACCTTTTTCAATCACAAACACAGTTTAGTTTAAGCCCTATAGCCCCCTAAAATTTGCATCCCAAAATCATCGACCACGTTCCCCCCTCCTGTCTCCAGCCAACTGGTCCCTGAAGTCTGAACCCAGACTTTCTGGTAGCAGAGGAAGAGAGACGTCATTAGGAGATTAACTACAGCAGCAATACTTTACAGCCGTCATAAATATATGTACCTGAGTTTCAAGCTATAAAGGCACCAATGGAGCTAAAATTGGGCTATGGGGGGGGGCAAGGTTATTTGCTGTTTTTAAATTTGGCCCCAATTTATCCACAAGCATGGAGTTATTTATAGCTACAAAACTGGTCTGAGCTGCACATTTATCACCACAAACATATTCAACACACACACACACACATATAGTATTTAAATATTTTTAAAACTTTCATCAAACAAGTCAGAGAATTCAGCTGTTTTACTCTTAGATTTAAGTCTCGATTCAAAGGGTTATAAGTGGGCCAAATTTTAATGAGAAATTCCCAAAAGTAAAACTAGCCTTCATCAATCAGGCTAACCAGCTACGGGTCTTTATATAATCCACAAGAGGAAGTTAATTTTTGCACATCACCATAAGGGCCCTGTAGTTGGGTGGATTTATACGCAGCATTAAATGCAGCCAAAGCTGTCCTGGGGTGGTCATTAGCAGGCAAAAAGTGGTAAAGTAAAAGTATATCTTCTTAATTTTGCTAAAATAGACAGATAACTAGTAATAAGTGTAACTGAAAACATTTGTCTTAAAAATCCTACTGTTATTTAGATCAAAATATTTAGAAATCATTATCTTTGAAGGAAAAAGTGACTGAACCAACAGCCAAAGAGCACTGAAACAAACAAACACAGAGGTAATCCAAGGTGAGTGTGTTGAGTGGAATCAAATGTTGTTGATTTGACCATCTTCAGCTAATATGTAATTTCATCTCCACACTGATAACCCTCAGAGCTGAACAGAGTCACCAGTGAGTTGAGGGTAAACACTCATCAAAAGTGATACAGTGGCCTGAAGTGATCTGAGCCATACAAAACTCTTAAAAGGTTAATTATTAGGGAGAGGAAACACATATAACTTATTATATAAAAGCAAATAGTCATATTTAGAGAAAATAACCAAAGGCGGAGCATGAAATATTTAAAAAGGGGAAAAGTTAGGAGAAAGTGAAATTCTTCTGGGAATGAAAACATCAGACTTAATGACCGTCTAAAAAGCCCTATCCTTCCTGCTACACAAATATTCCCACTGACTCTTCTGTCCCAAAATACACCTCTGCACCTATTCAGAGTGAACAGGAAGTGACCTCGATGACCTTGGTTTCCCACGCTGTATTATGAAGGTGGACACCACCAGCACCTGACCAGAGCACACATACATACAAACCCATATGTTCAACAGAACAACAGCTTTACCTTCACTGTACGTCACATCCATGTTTAACTTCAAGCTTACTGTGAGAGTGAGACTAAATATTACACATGACTTCATTTCACTTTGTTGCTTTGCATGTTTGCAACAGGCAGCCAAACAGTTAGAAATAGTGAAGTGGTAACCAGGAAATACCCTGCAACCTATAACCAGTGGAAACGGTTGGCAATTGCTTCCTTCTTTCCTTGCCTGAGGCGGGTGATGTCTGTGTAACCGTCAGTAGGGAACCTATATGGCACGACGTGTCACACAAGGTAAATGAGCAAAAAACTCAAAAAAACAAAAAAAAACAAACAAACAAACAAAGAAAAAACTAACAACAAAAAGGAGGCGCTCTTTCACAGATGTGCAGGATTCCTTTTTCTGTTGGCTTATGCTGTGCTATTTGCAGTGGCTCCACAGTATAGTGCTTTACATATTCACCTAACAAGTGAAAGCTTCCCAGTTTGTTCCCAAGAGGAGATCCAAATCATTTGCAGGTTGCATCCAGTGTAAATAAACCCAAAAAAAAAAAAACTGGCAATCAAACAGCCGGCATTACCTGTTGTGGCAAGCTCTTGTGAATAAGGGACCACCTGAAGTTAGTTTTTGGCTCTCTGCTGTGTGTGGCTAATTTATGATCTGTATATGCTGGTCGTTTGCTTGCTACAACACTGATCCCCTGGTCCATTCAGACAAACCTGAATGACTAATTAAAGTTACATAGGGTAAAATATCATGTCTAGATGTCACTAGATTGCAGACTGCAACCAACTTTCTGCGCTGTTCTTAGCCCTGAGCAATTCAAGTGGATAAGACTAGCTACGGGGGTTGCTATAGAACAAAGATGTTATAGTCAGCTGAGAGAGATCAAAAACATTAACTTTAGACATTAGTCATTAGATTTAGATGCCACAGCAAACCTGTTCCTACTACATTTTTGTACACACTATATTTTAGCATATTTGAATAAAATCATCACCTAGCAGTAAATCAGGACAGAATATATGTCAACTAAATATTTTTGCAGTGTTTTATATTTTAACCCCTAAGGGAACCTTAAAAACTGTGGCCACCATCATCTGTAGTGAGCGTACCCAGGCAGCGACTCCAGACAGTGACTCCTGACCGGATCCGCCCCAGAGTCTTTTGCTATCTGGTCAAGCCGTCAGTCCACTGTTTACTTCAGCCGTCGATACACCGGGTGAGAACTGTCCAAATCTATTTACTCTGAACGAGGCTGAAAGTAAAGTCCAACTGAAGTTCGTGAAAGGAGTTTTGCAATTTCTCTGACATGAGCCCTGTGGGGACGGTAAATCCTGTAGCACCAACCAGTTTTCACTTGCACATTAAGTGAATCCACATCAAGCCATGGGAATACCCTCAGGGCTGTAACATCACATACTATAAAGCTCATCAAGGATGATCACAACACACTACTTCTTCATGCGGTTAGGAGCAGGTGTGCTTATGCGCTTTTTTAAAAAAGGTTTTTGCAAAATCAGGTTGCAGACAGGCTGGAGACATGCAGACTAACTGCCGCTCATAAACACTGAAAGTCTTGGCTTGTTGCACTAAAAGCCTAATTGGAGAATTTGATCCACTTCACCAATAATCGTTTTAATAGCTTATAAATTATGCTGTAATATATGAATTGTACACAAGAGATTTAGGTTTCACTCTGGTTAGTGTGTGTGCACTGTGCTGCACACTGGCTTTGTGCACTTGCATGCGTGCAAAAATCAGTGCAGTCTTGTGCTCGTAAAAGGGACATAAAAATCAAGAGTGAAAATGGGTTTTTTATTCTTGTTTTAATTATCTGTAAATAAAAACAATGCACCGCAGTTATCATAGCACGATGAGGCAAAGGCCCCACAGCCAGACAACTCCTTTAAATAGACTTAGTATTGTGGAACAGGCTCTCATTTCCCGTAAAGTCAAGGGGTGGGCTTTCTGTTCTTTCGCCGCCCCTGAGTCCTGTTCTTAATGTCTACATGTCCCGCACCATCTAATTCTCAAGCAAATTAGGGAGATGATTTATGAGAATCAAGGATCAAAAAAGTAGACAATGTGGAAAACTGAGCACACCACAAGTTTTACTCAGAACATATGCCCTGGAGATGTCAAGGAAGAAAGAAAGAAAGAATGATGGGGGTATAGATCACAAAGTGTAAAAAAAGGAACCCACATACCGCCTCACTCCTCCTGGGAAAATACCCGAGAAAAGATATGTGAAATATTGTCCGATCTGAGCATCTAAGCAGTTAGGCTGTTATTTCAGAAGAAAATAATGTGGAATGGACATTTCTACTGTGCATGTGTAAGATTAAATGAAAGTTTACTGATCGGTTCTCCTGGAATCGACCTAGAGCTTCACCTTTACCCAATATTAAGAAACTATTATGCTGATAGTCACAACTTTTCTGTACTTCCCAAGCTTGCACATGAATTGAGTCACACAACCAGGATACCTACTAACAGCTTTTAGATCAAAGATTTCCAAAAAGGCCTACGAATGACAAGAGACTGAGGACCTGTCTTAAAATAATTCTTCCCAACAGGCTACTGCAACCACTTCCAAAACCTCCCCGCTCATAATCCCTAATTCATATGAACATATACAACTATCGCAAGCAAAACCACTGCCTCACTAAGCAGTTATGTGTCAGGGAGAAAACACAGCAAATAATCTGGAAACACTTGAGCTCTTTTTATGCTCCTGACATTAAAATGTGAGAGTGGCCGAAGGCCAAACACACCCAAAGATGTTTTGGACTAATTGTTTCCTTCAGTTTCAAACACTCCCCCTTACATCTCTTCAAAACTCCTTTCTTTGCAACCCCTCACCTCCACCTTTCTGCATCTACTAATAGGTTTAAATAAAACCTGCAATTGGTCCAGTAAACCCCACATTATGGTATTTTAATAGAATGAATTTAGGATAGTGTGAGGTCAGAGGTCAATGGGAGGTCCTAACGCGCAGCAGCTGTCATGGGGGTTGGACTGTGATTGGAACCAGTGGAGTCAAGCATCCCCGGGTCTTCGACCTTGCTAAGTAGACAACCTGGAAAATACATTTGGCCTCAGACCAAAATGGAAAACATCCACCTCTGCGCGGTTTCAGAGGGGGTGTGATGAGTAGCAATGAATCTGAAAACAGGAGTGCGTACATCCGTCACTGAGAGTTTGCTTTACTGTGTGTGAACCTAACAAAAAATCTGCATCTTTTTGGCTTAAAGATGTAAAAATGTATGAATCCTTTAACTTCCCCAGACATGTTAAATGTTAGATTTCATAACTTAATAAATAATGTCTAAAACCTGCATCTTAGCCTTCCATTAGCATTTGCTACAACTGTAAATTCTGCCCTAAATAACCTATCTGAGTGTGAAACCAAAGAAAAGTGGTCCGGTTGATGCGGTGCAGGGGTGAAATATGGTTTGTTAGCCAAGGAGTTTGCTCCACATGTGGTTATGAAGTGGTTGGGATTGACTGGGTGAGATGGAGGGCATGCCAGTCTTCACAGTTCACCAAGTTTAAACTGACTCAGAGTGCAATCAAGGAGATTATTAGACAAAATGAAGGCCTGCTGTTCTGGGTTAGGTTTAGGATGCTGTGGTGGCTGCAAAGAGAGCTTATCCTCATGTAGGAAATTGTAAAGAAGTTGTTTTAAGATTCCAGTGTTGCAGGATTTACACGTCATGCACAGAAAAATATGGTTTTAAATGTTTTATATATGGTATTTATGGACCTGATGACCCGATGAACTTCAGAATCATGTCAATACTGTGACAATTTATGCCAATTTAACTGCTCAGCATTATAACTTGGCTTGAACAAAGAAATGTGCCTAACTGTATTAAAACACAGAAGCAGAGACCAAAGGAAGCAAGATTCCTGTGGGTGACTGTGTAATTTAATTTTGTATGCACATTAGAAGCCAGAAAGTATAATTTACATGTGGGGTAGAAGTGACTGAGGCCCAGGAGAAATTGGCCAACATGCTCTGCAAAAGTCTAAAAATCTTTACCCGGGTCTTTCCTTTGAGATGAAACTCACAAAAATAGGAAAATTAAAACCTTCCTTCATTCTTTAGGACACTTAAGGTTCATGCGCGGTTGCCTCTCCTCTGTTGTTTCTTCCTTTTCTAATCAAGAGCCCAAAGCCCACAAACTCTGACCAGAGTTTTTCCCCACAATACAAGCAGACATTAAGAGGAAAGGCTGGAGTCTGTTTAAGTCTGTCTCCTCCTTTCTGTCTCTTGCTGTCTACCCCAAAAACGAATACGATTCCAGAGCTAAGTGGGAAGTGACGGCAGCTGCCACTCATGTTGGACTCGTGCTGATTTACACTCACTGTCATAACTGTGAGCAGATGATTGAAGAGTCATGTCAGTGCGAGTTGCTTGGAATTTATTTTTCTTCTGCCTTTTCATTAAATGCTAAAGTGAGTTTTAATATGTTTAGCGTCACACTTACGTCAACATGGAGCTATTAAAATGGTATTACAACACAATGGATCCCTCAATTTTCCCCAGAAATAAAAACCCAAATAAAGTACTTTTGGAACTACATCACACTTACTGAAATCGACTTGCTTGTTTGTTTGTCTTTCTGCAGGATACCGCAAATGAATTTCCATGAAATTTGGTGGGAAGGTGGGACTTGAGCCAGGAACAGTTGATTCCGTTTCAAAGGTGTATTAGAGGAAGGATTTTACAGCATTATATGTTACCCAGATGAGATGATTTCATTGGAAATCCAGAGGGGATGTTCAAATAGTCAAAATGTGACAAGAATTAAACCTCATGAGACTTGACAAAATGTTACTGATAATTGTGCCAGTGGATCTTTGCTGTTAACAATAAGAGCAACTTTATACCAGAGCGAGCAACTGGTGAATAACTAAAATTAGTATGAAGAAATATAATTGAATCTATACATGCAAAAAATAGCTGTGCACATTTAATACTTTTCTGTGTGTGTTACAAGAGAAACAGGCCACAGCCACTCTCATCTGACAGCTAGATGCTGTCCTGTCTGTCTGAATTCATGCACACACGCACACACACACACACACACACACACACACACACACACACACACACACACACACACACACACACACACACACACAAACTCTGAACTTGATCCAGCTAAGTGTTTTCAAAGCAGCTGCTAGAAAGTAAGACAGCTCAAGCCAGAGCAAGACAGTTTAACTATATCAACTGTGAATTATGCTTTCAAGGAAAACAGGCTTAATTTTGTGTTGCATGGACCATGCAGTCATTGTCCCTCAAACACACTGAACATTAAAGGTTAATACAAAGTCACAATAAAAAGTCATTGCTAATAATAAAAGAACAAACAATAAAAACTCCTTACCTTTCTGTGCAAGCCATCACCTTTCACACTGAAAAACAGCGTCTGTATAACCAAGCCACAGTTTCTATTATTTCCACATTACAAGCTCTCCTCTTCCCTCAGCCACCTGCAGTGTGCATTGAGCAAAGCAAACTGCCGTCCAGCACAAACATACCTTGTCTTTTCATGGGGAGGCCAGTGATAAAAATCATCCCACAATATATGAACAAAGACACCTTTAACAAAGGCTGTGATTCAATCTACACTCTTATCTTCTCTGCTCTCAGTATCTTCTGTGTCGTAAAAAGCATGCTTCACTGGAGATGAGAAGTGAATTATGGATCACAAACAAACAGGACACGTTAACTTCCGTCTCTAAAGTTGGAGCATTTGTCAAATAGTTGCAGTTGGGCTGCAGCTTATTATCAAACTTTTTAACCTTTGTTTTTGGTGTGTTCTGGGATGAGACTTGGGCTTCACAGCCATCATGATTTGTTTAGATTTAAATTTAGTTTTTCCCATAAGTTCGTGTGGAGACAAGTAATTTAAATAAAAAGATCTGAAAGGCTGAGTATCGTGTGGTGATCGCGCTAAAAATATTGTTGCATGAGTTTCAAAAGAGCACATGTATTATGCAAAAAGAAAGAGAAAAACCCACCAGTTGAATCTTGTGGAGGGTGTCACCCTATTGCTGTGAATTTGACTGGAGAGTCTGTCAGACCTGATGTAATATGCCAAGTAAGATTTTTTTGAGCTATTCCACGTTTCAAAACATTTTTGAGCGCCTCATACTATTGTTTTTGTCAGATTATACAAAAGTTCTCTTTTTACTCTGTGCATGCAACACCTTTTGATGATCGATCTGAATAAATATGATAGAAATATAAATATTATTTATTGTTATGTTATCTCAGTACATAATAAAAAAAAATATAACTCTGTATCATAAAGTATACAATCAAAATGTGTCAGGTTATTTTGACATTAACACAATGAAGATGCTTTTCATATTGAGTTCAGAAATAATTGTAGAAATGCGCAATTTGTGAAATATCTGCTTGTCACACCTCGTGAATAAATTAACAAAAACAGAATTGTGCCACCGATTAAAAAGTCATTATCATAATGAAGCCCACATAGATCCTGAACCAATGAGGAGAAAGTAGCGATTTGTTCCAGCCAACCAGAGTCCGAAGGTGGAGTGACGCTTTTAAAACTCCAACTCAAGTTGCTCTAACATGCAGCACTTCAGTTCACAGTGAGAACCACAAGTTTCACGACAGCACCCCCCTCCACGACAGCCCGGGACAACAAGGCAAACAAACAGGAAAGCGGGGGAAAAACAACAGGCTCGCACTGACTGAAACTGTTAAAGGAATTTACTTTGGCGCAACGCGCGCAAAAGCGCACTGGCCAATTTGGTGAAGGCTTGAACTTCAGTGGCAACATCTGAATTTTCATTTCCAAAGGACTGAACAAATAATGTTAAAAATGACGGACGAGCATGACAAGTGTGTCGGTGACCAGCCATGCAGTCCATCGGGTACAAACAGTTCCATGTCCCAGGACGAGTCCGACTCCGATGCTCCGTCCTCGCCGACAGGCTCCGATGGTCAAGGATCCCTGCTCGCCGGTTTGGGCAAGAAACTGGACTCCGAAGATGATGAAAGGTTCCCTGCGTGTATACGAGATGCCGTCTCTCAGGTCCTAAAGGGGTACGACTGGTCCTTGGTACCAATGCCCGTGAGAGGGAACGGATCCCTGAAGAGTAAACCTCACGTCAAGAGACCCATGAATGCGTTCATGGTCTGGGCGCAAGCGGCCCGCAGAAAGCTCGCGGATCAGTATCCACACCTGCACAACGCAGAACTGAGCAAGACCCTGGGGAAACTTTGGCGGTAAGAAAAAATATATATTTCAAATAAAATTATATATTTATGTATGTAGATTGGGGTGTAGAGAAATTCAAGAATATTTTATGTAAGTGTAAAGTAACATAAAAAAAAAACAAAAGGACACTCAGGTCACCGAGACGCTGTGGCTGGAGTTTTGAACACGGACATGATTATAATATTGTAACGCTTTCTTTTGTTGTATTTGGTGAAATGATTTGGAAATAAATAGATTTTTTGAACTAACCAAGACAGAAAACATCTTTTAATGCGTGTTTTTCTCGACGTTTTTCTAGGAAACAAAAGCGCTAAAGTAACTTTAAATTTAACAACTGTGTCTTTGTTTACTTCAGCTCAATAATTTTCTCGATTTTATTTATTTATTTTTCTACCTTAGCTTGCTTTCAGAGAGTGAAAAGAGGCCATTCGTAGATGAAGCAGAGAGGCTTCGAGTTCAGCACAAGAAAGATCATCCAGACTACAAGTACCAGCCTCGAAGACGGAAGAATGTGAAACCAGGCCAGAGCGACTCAGATTCTGGAGCAGAACTGGCTCATCACATGTACAAAGCTGAACCAGGGATGGGAGGACTGGGAGGAATGAGTGACGGACACCACCATCCTGACCATGCAGGTATGTACTTTGTGGCTAATTTGTTTAATTCTTGAGATAATTTTGTGTTTGAAGTGGCAAACCTTCATTTCTGATTTACATCTTTTTTTTTCAGGGCAGCCCCATGGTCCACCTACACCACCCACTACTCCTAAAACAGACCTCCACCATGGGGTGAAGCAGGATTTGAAACATGAAGGCCGTCGACTTGTTGACAGCAGCAGGCAAAACATTGACTTCAGCAATGTAGACATCTCTGAGCTCAGCACTGATGTCATCAGCAATATGGAGACCTTTGACGTTCACGAGTTTGACCAGTACCTCCCGCTCAATGGCCACGCCTCAGGCTCCTCAGACCACAGCCACAGCCAGGCTCCACTGCCTGGCAGCGCTTACACTTCCTCATACAGCCATACAAGCAGCAACGGGTCAACGTGGAGCCGAAAGAGCTCCATGTCCTCCTCCTCTCCCTCCACCGGTGAGGTGGGCCAGCACCGTCTCCATATTAAAACAGAGCAACTGAGCCCCAGCCACTACAACGAGCACTCTCACGGCTCGCCCTCACACTCTGATTACGGCTCGTACAGTAGCCAGGCTTGTGTCACATCAGCCACATCAGCTGCCTCGGCCGCTTCCTCTTTCTCCAGCTCCCAGTGTGACTATACTGACCTTCAGAGCTCCAACTATTACAACCCTTACTCTAGCTATCCCTCTAGCCTTTATCAGTATCCCTACTTCCATTCATCCAGGCGGCCCTATAGCAGCCCAATCCTCAACAGTCTGTCCATGGCTCCTCCTCACAGCCCCAACGCATCCAGCTGGGACCAGCCGGTCTACACCACACTGTCTCGACCTTAAGAGTACAGAAACAGCCCGTTCGCACTGGAGACTCATTCAGATCGATGCGCTACTAACGAAGGAAGTAAGGAGGAGACGAAGTAATGTGCGTAGGGGCTAGTAGGCTAAATGTGACCATTTGAACCTGAGACAGACAAGAGAAAAAAGTGCCTGCTGATTTTATACAGAGTTCTATTGTTGCGACGAAAACACACTTGTACAGACTTTTTACACAAAGAGAAATTGTGTTGTTGGTGAGCCAGACTCCTCCATGAGGACATATCGCCTACGCCTACATCCTGTACACCCTTCTTTCCAGTTAAAGATTGCATGTGTGTGCACACTTGAGGTAAAGAAAAGGCCTGACGCTGAATCGTGCAGGACTGAAATGGTTTGGCCAAACTCTGTCAATGTACACATGACCTATAATGTGCATTTTCAGTAACACTTAACGGCCAGAGCCATGTCGCCGCACACTGTTTGCATCAGTGGATCAGTCTTAAATAACTGGCTCCTATGAATCTAGTGTCATTTTGGCATAAAAGTCTTATATCTATTTATGTTCATGCATTATTTGGTTTTGTTCTTAAGTAGATGAACACATATAATGTGGGTTTGGTTATTTAGAGTACTGTTTGGCTTTCAATGAAAACTAGGTAAATAAGGTGGTACAAGTGCCGTGTTTGATATTATTCAGTTAAAGACCAATTTTTCCAGAAACATCTCCATTCCAAGTTGCACACAAACAGATGGGACCAACAGACTCACACAGGACAGAACAGGTGTCTGAAATCTATGCTTGGCAAATTGCGATTAGTCATGATCTAGGGTTAAAGGAAATGGGGTAAAATAACACCGCACACTCTGAGTGACATGTCAGCTGGATCTCGTGTATATGTCGATGGACAACACAAGACTTCGTCTACGTACATGCATCCGCGTTGGTGTGTCAGGGAGATAATGTGGTGTCAAACATGCACATGCATGCGCGAGCCATTTCCTTGGGAAAAAGTTGCATATATAACCCGTGACACAAACTATACGTTTTTTTGTTCGTTTGTTTTTTTTAAACCGAAATTCATCTTTTAACTTTTTCTCAAATAAGAGAATTTAGGGTTTAAAAGTGAAATTAAGTGTGCGAGTATTTGCCAGTTTATCATCAACCATTAAGTGCCAACTCACTGCTGCAGTCGCATAAAACATTTTTGTGCCTTCTAATGCTTATTGTCAGTATTTTTATATGACAAGGAATTATTAACAAACTCCGGGCAGCACACAATCGGTAATCAACACCAGAGACTCCAACAGTTACCTTGCTTCTGGCTATGTCCTTAATTTGATATCATTCCTTACAGCCTTGGTTTGTAATGTTGTGTCACATGCTGTATGTGAAACGTACAGAGAATCATGCTTTTGTCCGCAGAACTGTGTTTTGTATCTTTATGGTGTATCAGTTTTTGAGAGAGGCTGTGAAAAGAATTGTTGTTCTATTAACTAGAGTTTCACTCGCACATGCACAGCTAACTCATGCGCTGACTTTTTTTTTTTAATAAAAAACTTTTTCTTGATACTTGTATTCGTCCTTCCTTTTTGGATTCACATATGGTTTCCGATGTTTTTGTTCTTAACAACAAAAAAAAACTGAAAAAAAAAAAAAGAATTAACTGAACAGAAGCACGCCGTGTTGTTGGGTTTGCCTTTTCGCCGAACACCAGCTGTTAGACTCCTTGTCTAACATCTGTACTGTTTGCTATAGCTGCAGTGAGACTTTTATAGAGTCATTATTTTCCCTGTGATCCCTTCACAGTAAATCTAATTGGATTGTGCTCCGATCATGCGCTGAATTGTGTTTACATAAATAACAAAAATAATATTTTGCTTTAAGAACTCATGAGCCTTTATTCTGAAATTTAAACGTAGCGTATAATGTTATATGTAAAAACAAAAAACATAAAAAGCATCTTATTATAATTACTGCTGCCACTTTCAGAACCTTTGGACTGCACCGGAGATTTTTCCAGCATTTCATATGTGCCTGTAGTCATATATATCAGACTAGCTATCTTCACAAATATATATTTATGATTTTTTCCCATTAAACCATAAATGAGAGGAATGGTGAGAGATCCTATCTACGCTGGTCCAGTGGGTAGAATGCTTAAGTTGGCCCTGGCATGCATGCCAAGCAGCCGTCCCTAACCAGCCCAGGGAGAAGCCAAGTGCCAGGGCCGCGCTGCTGAATTTTAATGATTCATTATGCTGTGGAGGGGCCCCATTGTGTCCCTTTATCCGGACAGCTAGAAAGGAATTAATTGGACAGAAAATGGAAGGGCAAGGGGAACTGACAAGCCATTAAGAGGGTCCTGAATGGACGATTAGATGCACATGGTGGAGGACCCCTCCTCTCCCCGTCGCTGTCTCATATCACAGTGCTCCACAAACAAAAAACAACAAGAACAACAACCACAATGACCAGCAGACCAAACTGCAGAAATAATATCAGCGCACATAATCTGTAGATAATAAAAGAAGATAATACCACAGCAGATGGGGTGTGGGTGGCTCAAGAACGACTTGTTGTTTTTCTTCCCTGAAACTCTTTTTTTTTTCACAAGTGTTTGCCAAATACTTTCAGGAGGAACTCTTGAGAAAGAACAGGAGTGAATAAAAGTGAGGCAAAAAGGCTCTTCAGGGTGCTTGGGTCCTGTTTCCCTGGAACTTGTCCACAGTTTCTGATTGGGCCTCTTGAAAAGCCCTACTGTAAATAACTGAAAAAGTGAAGTGCAGCGGGGAACTTTACTGCGAGCTACATTAGCACAATATACCGAATTAATAAACAAACCAAAAAAGGAAATCGCGTGGAACAGTTTTGTGTCGCAATCAGAGCTTTCATTAAAAGCGGTTCATAGGTATGTGTCCAACCTACTTAATGCACAAAAATAGCTCAACAGCATGCAGATATCCTCGTGCGCACACTGACACAAACCCTGTCAGTCCACATGCGCATTCATGCAGGAACTGGAAATGAAAATAAAATATAATGCACATTCATTTTGCAGTGTTGAGTCTGTGCTGCATTCCAGCTGTCAACTTAATTGTTGATGGAGGAAGAGCGTTATTTGCCAAAGTCGAAGTCGTGGTCTCGGACCCAGGGGACATGAGGGGAAAGCGAGATGAAACGAGTGAAACTGGTGCTTCTACCACCTGACCGCATCCCATTGTTCAGACTGGGATAACTCGCCTGGTAATAGTCTCATCCTGCCTAATGAGCCTGGCTGACTCAGGGCATGTTTTGGGGGAGGGAAAAAGGGGAGCTGGGAACTGTGAAAACCCTAAGAATGTGAGGCTGATTTGCAAGGGAAATGGAGTGGACATAAAGCACGGTTATTGCCCGCCGCCCAATCTGCCTAGCCTCATTCCAATTGATGTACTGAGTTTTTTTTAAGTTCTCCAAATCTTAATCGTGCATTTATCTCATACCTCATCACTGATGGCATTTTCTCTTGCCTTGCACACCAAGCAAATATACTTCCTACATAAAATGATAAAAATGAATTGAGTTATAGGGCAGATTAAGTTATGTATTTTTAACCCCTTTATTATATTTTGCTTTCACAACAATTTATTTATCATTGTCATAAAATCAGGTATTATCTCTAAGACTTGAGGACAGAGCCACACTGCTTGAGTTTATTTTACTGTGAATTTTACATCAGCTGCGTATTTGCATAAACCAGTTTAAGTCAAGATGGCATATGACATGTTTTTAAAGAAAAGCTCTCGGGCTCTCTTGTTTACTTCAGTAACTCACGCTGCTTCCAAAACAAACAATTTCAACTAAACTTTAGCAGCTCCACCCAAGTAAACGATTCCCCGTGGCTTATTCGGTCTTGTCTCCCTGTTTTTCTCACTAAATAGAGGAATCTATTTTATTATTGGTGTGTCCTGTGTTTGTTGGGATCGCCAGGCCAAGTAAAACAGAGTGGCAGACAGAACCAACATTAACTTCCCCAATTCCTCACAGATGTGCCAGCGCAGAAAGGAATTGAAGAAGGTACAGTGCCAACACTAAGGTTTTCTAAATGGCACTAAATTGATGCCGGCTCCACCAAGGTCACCTAAGATTGGCCGGCAATGCTTACTTCAACCTTTCTTTTTTTGATGCTGCAACTACTCAACCGAGAACAGAATAAGTACAGAAAAAAAAGAACAGAAGTTTGAAATTCAAAAACATTTTTTTTAAATGTTTATGAAGTTGCAGTTTAGGTACTGGAATGTTTCTCGGTAAATTAGGAAGGATCAGTAAATTAAGCTCTTTGAAAACTTTTTAATCGCAAATTTTTTAATCTATTCTTTAGTCGGGCATTAAAAGAAAAAAAACATTCTGAAGTAAAAATGTCTCAATGGAGTGTCTGATTACGGTTGTTTACTGAAAAGATAATCAGACCTGGGTCTAAAAGTATTTGCAAATAATTCTGTGTCTGTTTCAACCTGCTTGGAGCACCAGATGGGAGGGATTACTGCACCAGGAGAGTCAGAGAATGTCAGGTTACTTTTACTACTTTTCTGATTAATGAAACTTTCTCCTGTTATGAATTTCACATTTGGAAAAAACAACAAATTCTAATTCTGATAAAAGCATAAAAAAGGTTAGATATTATTCAAAATAATGAAAAAGATATTATTAAAATTGGGCTTTTTCAGCCCTCTGAAATTCTCTTAGTGATATCTTTTACCACAGGTGGAACATTCTCCTTTTTTTAAGAAATAAAGAAATGTGAAAAAATACAGCAACAGTTTGACATCTGGTCATGTTCTGTTCCCTGAACAGTTGTCCACAGTCTTTCACTTTCTTTTTTCATTTGTTCTCTCCTTTTCACTTTTCTTGGCACATCGCAATTGTGAATGGGGTGGCAGCATAGCTGCTCATCTTGTTTCCACAGCTTTAAGACTTGTTGATTAGTAACTGAGGCTGTGTTTTCATTGTCACAGCTTTCTGCTTTTGTTGAACTGTGGAATCATTCCATCATTATGTACTTTCTCCATCTTTACTTGAAGTTATCTCATCTAAACCTTTTTCCCTTCCTGCATCCTGAGTCCCATGCTGTGAGTGAGTTTACTGTCTCAATGAAACAACTTTTAATGGTTGACAAAAC